AAACTTAGTGCCAATTCGGGTTCTCCGTTCCGAGATCCTACTTTGTATCGCAGTCTTGCAGGAGCACTTCAGTATCTCACTTTCACTCGTCCAGATATTGCTTATGCGGTACAACAGGTGTGTTTATTTATGCATGATCCCAGGGAGCCGCATTTTGATGCGTTAAAACGCATTCTGCGTTATATTCAGGGTACTATTGATCACGGCTTACATTTATATCCTTCAGCTCCTACTCGCTTGATTACTTATACTGACGCTGACTGGGGAGGTTGTCCCGACACCCGTCGTTCCACATCGGGTTATTGTTGTTTTCTTGGGGACAACCTCGTTTCTTGGTCAGCAAAGCGTCAGCCTACTTTGTCTAAATCAAGTGCAAAGGCGGAGTATCGAGGCGTTGCGAACGTGGTTTCTGAAGCTTGTTGGCTTCGTAATTTATTATTGGAGCTTCATTGTCCCCTTCGACAGGCTACTATTGTTTATTGTGATAATGTCAGCGCAATCTATCTCTCTAGCAACCCGGTCCATCACCAACGCACCAAACATGTGGAATTGGACATCCACTTTGTTCGGGAAAAGGTTGCGTTGGGTGAAGTTCGGGTTCTACATGTGCCTTCACGATTTCAGTTTGCGGAAATCTTCACTAAGGGCTTATCAAGGGAGCTATTTTTAGACTTCAGATCCAGTCTCTGCGTACGCCCTCCTACCGCTTCGACTGTGGGGGTGTGATAGATATTATTTTCTAGATAATATTTGTCGGATATATTTGTATATATTTTGTATAATTATCTTATTAGATTCCTAACGTGATTAGGAATAGACTTGTAACATTATATAAAGTGATCAATGGTACACACTCCAATTTGAGGAGTTTTCCCGAAATCTAACAGTGAGGAATCAACAATGTTACGACTTGGAAGATTTTGTATTGCGATAATTTCAAGATTGCTGGACACACTATGGATAGGTGTTGGAAGTTTCATAGTTCTACACACAGGCTGTATGGTAAAAGGAATAAGATATATAGTTGCATTTGCATAAGTTAGAGAATATTAAGATGCAAAATCGACCGATACTACAAGCAACGTAAATAGTGGACAAGTACAATCACTTGATTGAAGTTCTTGGAAAGTGTAAAGCAACTTGACAAGGTGAACTAAATGCTGGAGGTTCAAGTTCCCTTGGTAATGTTGCATGCTAACTTTACAGGTAATTTATGTCTTCTTTCAGCAAATGCTAATAAATGGACTCTAGATAATGGTGATGATTCATTTTTTTTTTTTGGTAGAAGAGAGCAGATAATTAATTAATTTAGGAAAGTTATGGTGTAAGCTCACCAAGCATACAGTTAGAGTAATCTCCCATCAGTGGGGGTCAAAATATGGTGGCACAACACCCATATACATCCTAGAAGGACTAATAGTAGCACAGTTAGAGTTTGATGAAACATCATCCAAGATAGGGGGAGGGGTTAACAGAGCTGAATTACAGAGCAACATATCAGTAGTTATGACCCCTGGCTGGAGTGCTGCAAGAACCAATCTGGCTTCCTTGGCTAGCTTGTCTGCCTCCTGAACCTTCACCCTCGGAACATACATTAGCTGGTTTTCCTGCAGACTTTGGAGTAGGTCCCTACAAGTAAGAACAAAGTTGTATAGCTCATCAGCAGGGGTATCATGGTTGATTATGGCCCTCACAAACCTCTGACTGTCAGAAAGGATTGCAGTACAGGTCCAATTGTTCCTGATACTCCATTACAGGGCCAAAATAATGCCCAGACATTTCGCAAGAAGGGGAGGTGACCATGACATGGGTTGCAATCCCTTGCACCCATGATCCTTGATCATCTCTGCATATTCAAGCTATTCCAGCACTCTTGGACTTAGCACAGTGTGAAGCATCAATATAAATAGAGTATTTAGCACAAACATGGCACTCTGTGGTTGTTAGAGGCTTGGCAATCCTATTTCCTGATCCAAGAAGGACAGAATCACTCACAATCCCTTTGGTAGAAGCCCACCACTGTGGTGATGATTCAAGATACGTCTATTCTTCTATTAGCATGTCTCACTCTTATACTGAAGCACATGCATGGATTATCCCGATTTATAACTATTCCTCATGGTAGTAAAGCCAAATTAAAGTAACAAATACTAGAACTGTGAAACATTTTCCTGAAATTGAGCTTAAAAAAATGTAGTTTGCTCCTAATTTTCAATTCAACCTAATGTTCAATAACTTTTACACATGATCAATATTTTCTAGGGACATTCAATGAGTAAGCCAATGCTACTTGGTAATATGGATAATGGTCTATATTTCTTATTAAGTCATTTCATTCCTAATCAAGCTCAAAACAAATTTTCTTCTCTAATCAGTTCTAACGGCAAGACAGTTGAAGAAGCTAAGCTCGATCTGACTTCTTAGACTAGGGCATATTTCCTTAAAAATCTTATTAAACTCCTAAATAATATTGCCGATGTTCAAGGTTGTACAGCAAAAATTAAATATATGTCAAGTATGTCCCTGAGAAAAACGAGCTAGATCTTCTTTTCCACTTAGTTCAATAAAATCTTCTAAGCCTTTTGAGTTGATTCATATAGATGTTTAGGGACCTTATAAGGTCACGTCTCACATTAGTTGTTTAATCTCTTTCTTATTATTGTAGATCATTACACTAGAGCCACTTAGACTCATTCAATTAAAAGCAGATCAGATTCAGTTTATGTTTTACAGCAATTCTATGATTTTGTTTCAAATCAATTTGACTGGTTTGTATATTCATACTGTTAAAAGTGAAAATGCACCAGGTCATTATGAAGGTGATATGAACAAGTTATTTTTTATGGGAAAGGGTATTTAACTCAAAAATTTGTAGTGATACACCACAACAAATTGAAGTGGTAGAGAAAACACACAAACATCTCTTAAAAACTGCTAGATCTTTGCTTTTTCAATCTCATGTTCCTATGAAATATTGGGTGGAGTGCTAACTAATAGGAACATACTTGATAAATAAAATTCCACTAGAATTATTAATTTTCTATCACCTTAAGATAAATCCTTCTCTTGACCATTTAAGAACATTTAGTTTCTTATTATGTTATGTATCTACATCAAAAGTTCTTAGAACCAAATTTGATCCTAGGGCAAGTCCATCTGTTTTTCTTGGATATCCACCAGAAAGGTTATAAGGTTCTAGATTTAGTGACAAAGAGATATTATATTCTTTGAGAAGCATTTTCCTTTTCGTCATTCACCACGAAATACCACTTCAACTACTAAATATCCAACTTAGTTATTATTACCTTTGGTAACTGATATTTCTGACATGTCATCTATATCTTTTTCCTAAAATACTTTCTGATGTCTCTAATTCACATGAATCTATCTTAACTTAATCCAATATAGATTTAGTTCATGTTCCAACTCCAATTACAGTTTCTACACCTAGAAAATCTATAATACCACATAAGAGGCAATCACACTTTGACAATTATGTTTGTTCTGCGGTTTCTGATCTGCCCCAACATTGGTGTAATCTTACTTCATATGACAAGATTCCATCAATATATCAACAAACTATTCAAGCTCGTGTTACAGTTGTTGAGCCAACCAATTATAAGGAAGTTACATCCTTTTTTTAGAGAAGCAATGGATAAAGAGTTATTAGCACTTAATTAGAACACGAATAGGGATGTTGCCTACTGGTAAGAAACTCATTGGTTGCAAGTAGGTTTATAAAATCAAGTTGAAAGCAGATGATTTAGTTGAAAGATACGAAACTAGGCTTATTGCAAAAAGGTTTAATTTACATAGAACTATGGTATTGATTATCAAGAGACATGTCACCAATAGTTAAGATGTCTACTGTAAGATGCATTTTGGCTTTGCAACAAGCAAGAATTGGATATTGTACCAACTATATGAAAATAACGCATATTTACATGGAGATTTAGTTGAAGAGGTTTATATGAGATTGCCTGAAGGTATTCCAAAACCAGATAATAAAGTTTGTAGACTTAGAAAGTTGTTATATGCTCTGAAATAAGATTCGAGGCAATGGTTTGCTAGATTACATAAAGAATTGAAGAATAGAGGTTCTATCAGTCTAAAAATGACTATTCTCTGTTCAATAATAAATTTGGTGAAGACATTGCTATAGCAGTTGTGTATGTTGATAACATAATATTGACTGGTACAAGTACAGGTGTGATAGAAGATTTAAAATATCACTTGTATAAGGTGTTTAGTATAAAGGGCTTGGGCTAGTTGAATTATATCTTGGGTATTGAAGTTTGTTACACTAAAAAAAGGGGTATTGAAGTTTGTTACACTAAAAAAGGAGTTATTTTCTCTCAATGAAAGTTCATTAAGTAACTACAGGATTGTCCCTTTGATCTGTCTAAGTCAGCTTCTACTCCACTTCTGTCTACTTAATCTTGTTTTAGATGATGGTGATATGTACTAGGATCCCGCTTTAAACAAATGCTATGTAAGAAAATTGAATTTCCTCATAAATACAAGACTAGATCTGGCTTTTGCCTTTAGTTCTTAATTTAGTTCATACAAGCTCCCACTAGTGGGCTATTAGCAACTGGCAAAAAGTGACTTTTAGTAACTGGCATGTAGGGCTGCTATTGCGGGGGCTACTAATGCTTATATTACTAGCAACGAACACTTGCCAGTTTCTAATGATACTTATTCGCAACTGGCATAGAACTAGGCCAGCTGCTAATAGTACTTATTTACAACTGGCGAACTAGGCCAGCTGCTAATAGTACTTATTTGCAACTGGCATAGAACTAGGCCAGCTGCTAATAGTGTTTATTTGTAGCTGGCGTAAAACTAGGCCAGTTGCTAATAGTTTATTTTTATATTAAAAAAAAGACTATTAGCAGCTGGCCAAGTACTACACCAGTTGCGAATAGTCATTTCTTTAAATTAAAAAATATATATATAATTTTGCCAAATTGACATACAAATTATATTATATACGAAAATTTATGTTAATTATGAAGTATACATTCATTCCTCAAACAAAAAATGAAGTATAAAATTCATTACAAATTAAAAAATATAAAAAATAAATAAAAAAAATTGACTGGTTGAAACATCTAGAGATGCTCTGATCACACGGCTACAATCATTTGTAAATATCGCATGATTCACATTAGAAGTATGCCAACGAAATTCCTTCAACAATTTCCCAGACTTCAAAACATGAACCCTGAGTTCAATCAATAACACAAATTAGTGACTATTTAAATTTTAGAAGACCAATGTGGAGAGCCCATCAAGCTAGACAATAGCAACATAAAAAAAAAATTAGAAACAAATAACTGATTGAACCATCATCTAGGGTCAAATATAGGAGAAACCATAAAGAACAAAAAATACAACACAAAACATTAGCTAATTGCAGAAAACTAGTCAGAACTACCTATGATATTAGCCAATTGAATCATAATGTCGTAAGTCAAGCATGAGATCCAAACCTGGCAGTGCTGTCAACAGATGTACTCAATATCTGACTTCCATCTCGAGAAAAACAAAGACTTTTAACTCTCATAGAATGAACACGTTCAAGGCGTCACAAATTCTGAGTGGTTCTAATATGCCAAACCTGCAAACAGGTACAAGATCCAGCGACAGTTTATCAGCAATCCCTCCTTCCATGAACAAGAAGTTAATTAATAAGGTAAATATAGAAATATGACAACTGGACACATCATATTAGACCATAAACAGAATTTCTACAAAACAGTCCACCACACTACATAGATTGATCCAAATCTGTTATACCAAACAATACAGATCACACATTATGCCCACATTCTAATAAGTAAAAAACTAACCTCTGAAACTATCAATGCAAGTTTCTCAATTTCTTGAAGATTATACTATACAAATACCACCAAGCTTTTATAGTACAAATACCAGCAAATACCCTCCAACACATGATGGCAGTAATGACCTATCAAAGTACCAACCACACTGAGTCAATACTAGATGGTTGAGACCTCAACAAGCTCCCTTCTTTTTTAACTTTTAAGGTGGAGTGAGGCTTAGATGATGGGGCTTGGGTTCCACATTTGCACATGCTCCAACTCTACAATTTGGTGATCCAATCAAAAGGGCCTACTCCTTGGCTTTGGCTCAACTCTAAACGCATTTTACTGTCGTCATTAGGAAATAGACAGATCACATTCTACATCAATACAATGGTCAATTTGTCTGCTTTATAACTTAAAATTCTTTTTGCATCAGGAGTATGCATAAAACATATAATATCATATTGTTTACAAATACATATACTAACCATAAGTTATAATCAGCTGAAGATAGACAAATCATATTGAATATACAATGGTCAGATTATAGAACCTTAAGAAAATCAAAGGTGATAGTTCAACAGTGGCAACTGGTAGCTGTCCATGTATCAAGTATACATTAGTCTACTCAAATCTAGATGCACATCAAATCTTAAGTCTTATACATTACCATATTCATTCCCCAGTAACCACCGAATTAATAAATAAAGAAAACATAATAAAGGTCTGAAGAATTTTTTTTAAGAGAAAATCTGGAGTTTTCCATATATAGTTAGTAATATGAATGTGTCACAATGCCTCACAAGTAACAACTAAATTAGTACTCATAAATGAAATACACTAGTGTAAATAGGAAACACAACTGAGTTAATGTAATTGAAAGGTATATATAGTTTAATAAACATACAAATAATCATCTCAACTCATGTAAGTAATCATCACCAAGTTAAAGCCATAAGAATAAAGTGCTTATGAAAAAGTATTCATTGCTACCCCTTCTACAAAGAAAGAGTAGGCATTTAATAGTTAGACAATCATTAAAGTGAGGAGATAACAACATTACCAAAAGTTTTATTTGATTAACTACCTTATAAGCCCAGCAATTGTGAGTAGAACGATTATCACACACCTAAAAAACAGAAATCAAAATCAAACCCTAGAATTCATCTTATTGCCAAAGCAGTAATCGTATAAGTGAAATAAAGAACCTCAGTTAGAGCAAGTTTAGCACCAAGTCTTAAGACTTGAATGTGACATCATTTTTGGTGGTCCCCGTTGAAAATGATGTCATCAAATTCTTGTTAAGACTCACTAAGACTTACACAAATTTATCACTTTAGCCCTAAGATTTAAATACTTGACATATTATAAGTAGAAAAGTGTAAGAAAAAAAAAAAAGGGATAATACAAATAAAAGTGAAGTGGGTCCCAATCTCAAGTCTTAAGTTGAAATTTCAAGACTTAACAGACTTGTTTGAGATTTTTGAAGAAAAATGGGAAAAGTCTTAAGTATAAATCTTTACTTGGGGCTAAACTTGCTCTTAGAAAAGAATGAGCATATTTTTCACTTTAAACAAGAGCAGCAGTGGTCATTTCTGCAAGTGTCAAACGACACCCCCTCTCTGCGAGTGTCGTAAAAGCTCCTCCATAAAATCAACATAAAAAATCAACAATTATAATCAAAATAATCGAAAATTTTAAGGTTTGACACCAAATTTCTCATAAAAACAACATGAAATTGCAGAATTGAAATAAAAACGGTAGATTTGAAAGAGAAAGCAAGAAATATCTAAATACCGAGCTCCCAAGCAACATTATCGAATCGATATACCACGAATAACCTGGACTTTGTCATATGGAGGACATCTATAGCGAGCTTCTAAAAAGCGATGGCAAATTCAATCGCAATACCCCAAAAATTCGACCAGCAAAACCCCAAAAATCCCCAGCGATACTCTGCTGCCGTTCGACCCCAAAACACCAGCGATTTCAACAGCAATACCTCGAGAAATTCGACCCCAAAGCCTACAAGTTCGACCACTAATCGAAAAACCCAGGAAATGTGCGGCAAAACCCCCCTATATTCGAGCAAATTCGAGCCAAAGCCCCTTATTTTCAAGCAAAAAATCGACCAAAAACCCCAAAAAAAATTCGAACTACAAAAACCGTAGAAAATTGGGCAAAAATACCCTAAATTTGAGGAAATAACAACTGAAAATTCAAAAGAACTAAGCAAGGACGTTGGATTTTCGTTCAAATTAGTAGTAATTGTTTCGACTATTTGAAAGTTAGGGTTTGTACTCAAATTTAGGAGTTTATCTTGGTTTTTCTAGGGTTAGGGTTTACTCTAGTGGAGGCAAAGTTGAAAAAGGAGTAGCTTTTAAATAAAATCTTCTAGCAATGGAGGAGAGGACGGTATAATGGAGGTGAGGTGAGTGAAGTTCAGGGACATTGGATGTAAGGGCTGATGAGAGAGATTGTAGGGTTTCTAATTTTTCAGATGATAGAGAAGCGCGGTTATGAGGAGAGAGAAACGGGTGGGTCAAAATTAGAACTTCATTCCCTATTATTAGCAGCTGGCCTTTTAAGGTCGATTACAAATAAATTTTTATTTTTTAAAATAATTATTATTAGCAGTGGGCATTATTACGCCAGCTACAAATGCTATAGTATTTGCAACTAACATCAAATAGGCCAGTTGCTAATATATATTTTTACTTTTTCAATCCAAGTATTAGCAGCACTCATTACTACGCCAGTTGATAATGATATAGTATTTGTAACTGGCATTATTTTGGCCAGTTGCAATTAGTGTTTTAGTAACTAACACATACAGCTTCAGTTGCTAATAGGGTGCTGCTAATAGCAATTTTTCCACTAGTGTCCAAGATCTACTCATGTGAAAGCCTTAACTCATACCTTAAGATATGTTAAACATATTGTTGGGTGAGGCATTCTTCTAAAGGCTACTGATATCTTAATTCTACAATCTTATAGTGATTCAAATTGGGTAGCATGTCCTCATACAAGAAAGCCAGTTTTCGACTATGTTTTGCTCTTGGGAAACTTTTCTATTAGATGAAAATCGAAGAAACAAGGAACAATTACAAAGTCCTCTTCTGAAGCTAAATATAGAGCAATGGCTCATGTTACATCAGAATGGATTGTCAGATTGGTTGAAGTGTTGGGTGTTCAATAATTTAAACATGTCATGCTTCACTGTGATAATCAGTCTGCACTTCACATAGCGAGGAACCTTGTCTTTCATGAAAGAACCAAGCACATACAGCTTGACTGTCATTTTACTAGAGACAAGGTGATGGAAGGACTTCTTCAACTAAGCTACCTGCCAATAAGGGTGAAACAAACTTGGTTTAAAATTGAACCAAACCGAAAACCGAACCGAATAAGAAATTTGGTTTGGTTTTTTTCGGAAGTGGTTCGGTTTCGGTTTTAAAAAAAATTCGGTGTGTGGTTCAGTTTCGGTTTGCGAAAATGAAAAACCGAACAAAACCGAATCACACCGAAATAAAGGTCCAATCCTATTAAACCCTAGCCCAACTCTAAATTACCCTAGGTATATAATGCAAAAAAAAAAAAAAAAAAAAAAAAAAAAAAACCCTAATCACTTTCAGCCTCTCTCTCTCCACCCTTTCTCTCTCCTTTCCTCTTCTCCTCTTGCAGATTCCGCCCACTCTATCTCCTCTACTCTCCTCTTCTTCGCTTCACACTTTCACTTTCCTCTTTTCTTTTCCTTTTTCTTGTCTTTCTCCTCGCCACCATTAACGAACACATCAACGACTTTGAGGTTTTGATACGCCCCCTTCACCATCTACGAACACCATCAATTGAATTCGAGGTTTTGATTTAGAACACGATCAACTAAAGGTTTTTCATGTCAAATTCGACCATGAAAACTCTAGATCTAGAGTTTTCATGGTCGAATTTGACCTTTAAAAACCAAATTTTGTCAAATTCGATGCTTTTTCGATGGAATGTGAGGTTTATCCTCTTTTCTTTCTTTTAATTTTGTTTGAGTTTTTTTTTCGTACTAATTTATGCTAAACTTTTAATTCATGTCCAATTTTTTTCTGATATTTTGGTGCTTTTTATTCCAATTTTAGTTTGATCTTATTTAATTATGTTTGTATGGATGGGTTTGGTTTGGTTTTGTTTGGTTCGGTTTTGATTAGTGTGGTTTGGTTCGGTATGATTTTGCAAAATTTGATATTTATGATGCTTGATATGAGAATTCGGTTTGGTTCGGTTTTTTTTTTTTTATGAAACCGAAATAAATATGGTTTGGTTTGGTTCGGTTTTCTAAAGTAAAGTGGTGCGGTATGGTTTCTAAAATCCAAAAACCGAATTAGAGTGGTTCGGTTTCGATTTGGGCAAGAAACCAAACCGAAAACCGAACTTTCACCCCTACCTGCCCACTCAAAATCAGCTAGCTAATGTTTTCACTAAGGTTCTACCAGTCACTCAACGTAACGAGCTTGTTTGGTAAATGAATTTTTATTGGCTTTTGGCTTTTTTATTTGGTCAAACATCCAAAATTTGTGTTTGGTAAATGACTTTTTCAGCCAGCTGAAAAGCTGACTTTTAAGCCAAAATGAAAAAGCTACTTGGAGTAGTTTTTTGCTTTTGGCTACCTAAGTTACTAATAACATCCAACAACCTATTTTACCAAACATGTTTTAAGACTAATAAAAAAATCAAACATCCAACAAAAAAGTCAATACAAACAGCCAGTTAAACCAGCCAATCAAACCAGCCGACAGCCCACAGCCAGCAGCCAATTGCCAAACAAGGCCAATAATCTCCCGACTAAACTAGGAATGATTCAGAGTTCACTAGTCCCTAGTTCAGTAGTTTGAGGGGGGTTTTAAAGCTATATCAGCCACGTCAGTAGTCTACATAGATCAAACATTCAAGCCGGCCACATCTAATTCAAATCAATTAGAATTCTTTTATGCAGTACTTTGATTTCAAGGATTCTGTTATAAAAGTTATTAGCACAAGTCTAGTCAATAATGTAATACTCCTCCACTTCTCATTACTCGCAACAAAGCAATATTTTATGTCTTTCAAATAATACTATTTTGTTACGAGTAATGCGAAGCGGAGGTAGTATTATATATAGCAGAATTGTATTATTTTCTCCTCAGATTTGTCATTACGTTTTTCTCTGTGTAAGAAAACTTCTTCTGTAAGATTCTCTCTTCAATATAATTCACTTTATATTTTTTTCTCCTTGTCCAAGTAATTTTTCTGGTTAAAGCTTCAACAAGTCAACAACTCGTTTGACAAGTATTTTACTCATGGGATTTTGTGAGCCAATTTAAAGACTTGAACGATATAATTAGAATTTGGAAGCTTATGCATTATTTTGTTAATAATACTGGTTTGATTAATTATGGCTTAGAGAGTTGAAAGTGACGGGTTAGTTTATCATGTATCATGATAATAATGATATTTAGTTTTTTTTTTTTTTTTTTTTTTTTTTTTTTTTTGACAAAAGAACTTACAAACAAACAACAAAGAAACTAAAAACGGAAACAAAGTAAATCACGCCGACGCGCCTTCCCTGCCAAACAGTGAGCTTGAGCAACCATAGACCTTGGAACCTTCTGAATATGACACACAACCAAAGCACCAATAACTTCCAAAATCTCCTGCTGAATCCAACATACAGAAATATCTTTGGGAAACTGAGATCGAAGCAGATCCACCACCGAAGAACAATCAGTAAAAATTTGTAAAGAGGAATACCCACGCTACCTGGCATGGCGTAAAGCAAACAGACAAGCCATCAGTTCAGCCTGTAACGCAGAATTAGAGTTACAAGCCTGCGCCCAACCCCCGAGTTGAACATCAGAAGCCAGATCCAAGAATACCCATCCAGTACCCGCATTATGACTGCCAGAACTTCAGGCCCCATCAAAAGTAAGGCTGGCAGAACAAGCATCCGATGCATTCCCTCGAAGAACTGCAGAAGATATATTACAAGAAAACCCAAGAGGAACTGCAGACGTAATATTAATATCATATCTGAACGACCTAGCCTCAGAACACCTATCCACCCAACTAGAAGCTAGATCCATAATACAATCAGGGGAAGAAACTGCAGAACGAAATCTCATAGAGTTCCGAGTAAGCCATAGGGCCCATAACAAACTGAAAAAACGATCTAACATCAACCGGTCCTTATCATGAAGAAACTTAGAAAGAACCTCAGGAAACCACTCTTCAAAAGGCTGTTCTGGGGACATATTCAAGGCCGATCCACAAGGCCGGTTCTCCCATAAACTCCAAGTAAAAGGACAATCTCGGAAAAGATGAGAAATAGTCTCCATAACTTATTTAGTTGTGTTACAAATTAAAGTCGATCTTATCGTGATATCTTGCTATACATTGTATTATAAATCTTTTTTTTTTCTATAATTTAACGAGTGCATCAAAATTTGGAAGCTGGTGAACAGTAATATTTTATTTTTAATTATTGCTAGTAATAATAGATCAATATAATGATATCCCTCAAAAAAAAAAAAAAAAAAAAAAAAAAATCAATGGTAGAAAAATACTTCGTAATAAGTAATTTTTTCATGGCAAAGCTGAATCATGCCTTAGACAGTCCAAAAGCATGGTTTACTGATTTAATTTTATAAAAAAGATTTGGTATAACTACTTTATTTTGTTTTGCTTCACGTGATATTGCCAAAACCTCTCAATTATTATTATTATTATTATTATTATTATTATTATTATTATTATTATTATTATTATTATTATTTATTTATTATTATTATTATTATTATTATTATTATTATTATTATTACTACTTTACTAGATGTAAGCCCGTGCGATGCACAGTTCTAGTAAATCATTCTATTCAATTTAAAATTTTGTATATTTATGAAGATCATTCATTAGATATATGGATAATTTTTTTTAATATCATAAGATAATTTTTTAATTTAACACTAAAGTTATCTTTTGTTGTTTTATTTATTTTACGTGACGCTTGAATTTAAAATTCCAAACCTTATTCACTAATTTTGCTTATGTGACAATTTAAATTTTTAATTCAAAAAAGAAATGACAAATCTCGTTTTAATTGATCAAAATGAGTCTTTTGCCTATGCGTTTATTTAGTATACTCGTTCTGTTTGAAATGTTAGTCTCATTTATAATCATTTAACTATTAAAAATTATGGGAAATCAGTCATATGAGATTTAGTTTTATTTGTCTTGATGAGTACATTATTAAAATTGAACTTTTATAATATTTGTTAGGGAGAGATTAAAGATACGTAGTATTTTCCATTAAAAATTTGCATCCATATATCTAAAAAAGATATTACTTAGTTTTTTTTTTTAATTTCAATTTTAATTTTTCTCTATTCGTAAAATCAAACTTTTAAATATTTTTTAGGGAGAGATTAAAGATATTTGCGATTAAAAATTTGCATCTATATATATGTAAAAAAGATAATTATTACTTTTTTTTTTAGAAAAGATAATTATTGGCTTTTAAAAGTGATTTAAATTTTAATTATTCTCTACCTATGTGTTAAAATTCTTAAATCCTATTCATCGCTTTTGCTTAG